TTTGATGCATGCATATCCTATGTAGTCTTGTTTTTGTTCTGTTTTAAACATTATCTCTTGCTCACAACAGTGAAAAATTGGAAACCAAATAAAAATCCAATAATACTTGACTGGGTAAATGAATTTGAGCTCATCCCTAGGGTAAAATACACTAGAACCATTAAACACAATTAGGTAGATCTATGATTATTGATATGAAAACATGTCCATAATAAATTGGTAAATTTAAAAAAAACTTAGAAGAAAGTACACAAAAATATTAATAGAAGTGATCTCTGAACAGTGAGATAATAGTTTTTGTTTCGTCGTTTCTTTTTTTTTTTTTCGAATTTCTATAGTGAGTATGTGTTATTTTCACAACTAGTAGGGGAAAACACTTCCCCGTATGGAAAAAAAATTTTTTAAACAAGTTAGAAGAAATACATGTCTTACTTGCTAACACTTATTATTCTATGGAACTACCCCTAGTCTCCTAAAAGGGCAGCAAATTTGGATTGAGTCTGATTTGTCTCTGCATATGCATGTGTTATTTGTAATATGTTGGTAACATATAAGCAAATGCAGAAAACCTGCTGTTAAAATGTGTAATATGGGGCGGGGCGCGGTGGCTCAAGCCTGTAATCCCAGCACTTTGGGAGGCCGAGACGGGCGGATCACGAGGTCAGGAGATTGAGACCATCCTGGCTAACATGGTGAAACCCCATCTCTACTAAAAAAATACAAAAAAAAAAACCCTAGCCTGGCGTGGTGGCGGCGCCTGTAGTCCCAGCTACTCCGGAGGCTGAGGCAGGAGAATGGCGGGAACCCGGGAGGCGGAGCTTGCAGTGAGCTGAGATCCGGCCACTGCACTCCAGCCTGGGCGACAGAGTGAGACTCCATCTAAAAAAAAAAAAAAAAAAAAAAGTGTAATATGGCACGTGCTTTGTGATACAAGTGTGTCTATATACATTTTGTATGCATATATCTTGTCCTGTATTCAGTATATTGTTTTTACTGAATTTATTTTTCTAAGTGAAATACTTAACGCACAGCCTATTGAGATAACTGATTCATATTCTAATCCTCTCCGCCACACCTGTGCTGGAAGTGAACACCCACCAAGGGTCTTGGTTGCTTTTTTTTTTTTTTTTTTTAAACTTAATGAGACTTTTAAGAAAGCTAAAGCACCCAGCTGGCTGGCTCCACAGAGACTGTAGAGCTCCTGACAGCCTCATTAGTATTTGTTACTCAAACACAAACTTTCCTCGAGAGTTCCCAACGCACCTGTGCTTCTTTCCTTTGATTGGCGCATGGCCTCTCTTGGCCCAATTTATCTTAGGGAGTGGCGTGCCTGTTGGGTTAGATAATGAATGATGAGCAAAGATGGCCTTCAGAGATCTGGTTTTGCATCTCCACTGATAATGGTTCTTAGCTCTCACTGCCTGTGACAGACATTTCTTTTGAACCAGTTTTCATGTTCATTCTTTTTTTCTTTAGTTTTCATGTTCATTTTCTTTTTTTTCTGGTCTTTCCCTCTTTCCCTTTCTTCTTTTCCTTTACCTCTCTCCAACTCCATCTCAAAGTTTCTCTCTCTCTCACAAGAAAGCAGATGAGGTATTTATCAGTTGATATTAGTAGTTGCAAATCTGCAGTGAGCTGTTAATGCACCCAGCGCTCTAATTCCAGGGCGTTGGACGGTCCCTGTGTCTCCAGTGACATACCTGACTGGCACTGACATACCTGGCTGCCCCAGAGCAGCTGGTAGAGCCTGGCAGAGCCTGGCAGCTGCTCCCCAGGTCAAACTCCGTACCCCTACTTTCATTCCCACCTCAGCCAGCCTGACCTGCTCCTGAAAGGGACCTTTGTGTGTGGACTCTGTAGACAAAGCCCCAGCATCAGTGCATCTCATCATTAATTCCTTTGGGCTCCAACTCACTCAATCTAAGAAAGCCAAGTGAGATCCCCTGCCTTGGTACATTGTTCGTTTCTTTTTTTCTTTTCTTGAGGCGAAGTTTTGCTCTTGTTGCCCAGGCTGGAGTGCAATGGCACGATCTCGGCTCACTGCAACCTCCGCCTCCCAGGTTCAAGTGATTCTCCTGCCTCAGCCTCCCAAGTAGCTGGGATTACAGGCACGTGCCACCACGCCTGGCTAATTTTGTATTTTTAGTAGAGACGGGGTTTCTCCATGTTGGTCAGGCCGGTCTCAAACTCCCGTCCTCAGGTGATCCACCTGCCTTGGCCTCCCAGAGTGCTGGGATTACAGGTGTGAGCCACCGTGCCCAGCCTCATTTCTTATTTTCTTTACTTATTTTATTTTCACAAACATGGAGTGCTTCTTAAATGCCAGATTCTGTGTAATCACTTTAATTTATCAAATCCTCTTAACCCAGTGAGGTAAGTATCAACATCATTCCCATGTTTCAGTTGGAAACTAGAGCAAGAGGGGGGTCAGGATTCAACCCAAGACAGTCACACCTGGTGAGTCCTGGAGGCAGGATTAGAACCAAGGCTGATTCAGGAGCTCCTGCATTCAAGCTGCTCTCTATGTCCCTGGCTCCTCCTTGGCTGGGGCAGAACTGCAGGAGACACGCGCTTTCTGCGACAGTTCAGGCTGCTTAGGAACAGCCATTAGTTTTCGTCAGTTCCTCTTCTGAAGTTTTTAGGGAAGGCATTCTAAATGTGTGAGTAGCTGAGACAGCATTACCAACCTGGTCTTGCCTGGTGTGGGAATCACAGGTAAGCAGGCTTGTTCAGATGGGAGCTTCTCCTGTGTTGCAGGAGGGCTCTGGGATACCCCAGGTGCTGGGGACCAGTGCAGGGAAGAGAGCAGGCATGGTGTGGGGAGAACAAGTTCTGGATCCAGTGGAACTACTCACTTGCTAGGTGTGTTTCTGAAATGTCCCTTAACTTCTGTGGAGAATGTTTGGGTCTACACAATGGGAACATTATTATTTTAGCTAGTGGCCTCAAGAGTATCAGAAAAGAGGCAGCTAGTATTCCAAAGGGCATATGTTACAGGTAAGTCACTATGCTAGGTATTTTCACATTTCCCCTGTTGAAGCAATAGCTTTGGGAAGATATAAATCATGATCAGGGAGGCCGAGGCAGGCAGATCACCTGAGATCAGGAGTTCGAGACCAGCCCGGCCAACATGCCAAAATCCTGTCTCTACTAAACATATAAAAAATTAGTTGGGCATGGTGGTGGGTGCCTGTAATCCCAGCTACTCAGGAGGGTGAGGCATGAGAATTGCTTGAACCCAGGAGGCGGAGCTTACAGTGAGCTGAGATCGTGCCACTGCACTTCAGGCTGGGTGACAAGAGCAAAACTCCGTCTCAAAAAAAAAAAAAATCATGATCATAGATAGGAACGTGTTTTATAAAATTAGGTTCTTTGCAAATATAAGGAATTATTATGATAAAAACATGTTGCATTATACTAAGTAATAAAATAAATAGTAAGAAGCCTATCATGAGGTATTTTAATTGATTATGGACTGTATCCCCAAAATGAGATAGACAGTGAAAAATGGATTCTATATAATGCATCAAATAGATTTTGGAAGAGTGGAGTGCAAGAGGGAATATCCAGTGTCTGCATACAGTAGGGGATCAATAAATACTTCATTAGAAGTGGATAATAGAGAATGGTTTCAGGGCACAGTCATGAAACTAAGTCATAGGCTGTAGGCTCTTTTCTTCTCCCGTGAGTGTGTACTTAGGACTGAAGCCTACACTACATTACCCAACAGTTGCTCGTCTTCATTCCTTAATCCTTTTTTTTTAAATACGTGTATTAATTACTCACTTCTGGAATGTGTCATATGCTTCAGTCTTGGTTTTAGATATAAGAATATGTTTGAAAGTTTAAGAAATGATGGTATTTCAGTCCGAGGAAAGAGATAGGGATTTCAGGCTGAAACAGAGATTCACATCCCTCGATTTGACAAAGTAATCATTGACTTGAGAGTCCAGGGCCTTCTGAAAAGGTGGCATTCACTAAAAACAAATGTTATCCCATAACCCAATAAACGTAGGTACAACTCAGTATGCGCTAAAGTAATTTTAGAAACCATCATTTCATTTCAGCAGTAAAGGCAGCTCGAAGTGGTATGAATTCCCCATTAAGATGATGTGGTGGGGAGAGTGAAAGAATCTTTCGGTACAATCCATTTATTTTAGTGTCCCAAATGTTCATAGCAACAGGAGCAAACGTGGTTGCAGCTGCCATTGTGGTCGGCCTCTTGTCACTGTGGGAAATGAATGGCCTCTCCTTAGCCACCAACCTGCACTGCCTCCACAACAGAGGATTCATCAGTTTTCTCCAGAGAGTGGAATAGAAATCACATTTGGGTGTGTTGCAAATTAAACTTTTAATAGAAAACCAAAGAAAGAAGCTTTGCCCATTTATTTTATGGGTTATTGCTTTTGAAGAAGGAAGAGAGATTGGAAGTAGGATAGTGCAGGTAAGACTGGTTGAACCATTCTTTGAAAATCTTCCTTTTGAGATATTTGCATGCTTTCTGAAACTTGAGGTTTCTTTTCCATTTCACTCCGGTTTTCTCATTATTTTCCAAATAACCACCAGAAATGACTTCTTCATGATTATTCTTTCTCCTCACAAACACACAGAATGTTTCTGAGCCATACCTTGTATAGGACATGCCAGGATTCATTTGTTAATTCTAACCTCTGAAAAAGAAATCATGGAGCAGAGAAAAGGTAGTGCAGACAACCTTTTCTTCAAAGGAGAAAGGTCCAGTTATATGGCGCTTAAACTGCTAATGTCTTTACTTTAAAAGAGTAAATAAAACTGACATTAAGTTATGACAGATTAAAAATCAGGCAAAATAATTTGATCTTTATTTCTTGTTCCACAAGGAGAAACAGAAATTTGTTTTACATTTTATTTAATCTTCCCTTTTCTCTGGCTATCCTATTTTTGTAAATGAAAAAAAAATATTTAGTCATGTGGCCTTAGAATTATTAAAAGGTGACAAATGTAAAGAATGGTACAACTTCTGGGATAAAAAAACTTTTATTTATATCTATGGAATTCCATAATTACAGAATTAACAAGGCATGGACTAATTTCTGCCCAGGCATGTAGAGTTGCAAAGTTATGGCATATTTCAGCTGGCATAATTCATGTGATAGTTGACACCTAATTAGAAAAGATAATATTGGAATTCAGTTCTGTTAACCTCTTAAGACTTGCAAAGAATGGAGAAGAGGGAAGTGTATACTAGGGAATGCTAACTGCTGTCACAGATAACTGAAATCTCAGCAACTTAACTAATACAATCTGATTTCTTGCCAATATGAAGTTCTAAGAAGGTGTTCCCAATTTCCTGGAAGTCCAAGACATCGCATGGCCTTCCATGCAGTTGGTCACTCAGGGACTCAGGCTTCTTCTGTCTCCGATTCTTCATTCAGCAGGCAGATGGGGAAGAGGCTGAAAGTTGCATGTGGTAGATTAATAAGGGCCATGACTGAGCAGCCATCACTTACACCTACATGTAATTGGCTGGTACTTTAAGTCTCATGACTGTAATAAGTGCAAAGAAGGCTAGAGAATGTAATTCATTTGTGTTCTCAGGAGAGCGAGGAAATGGGTTTGGTAGTCAGGTCACCTAGTCTCTGGCACAGGGAACAAAGTCCCTGAGTATCAGGAATGAGAAAGTAGAGTTTGAAGGAAGATTCAGGAGTTGGGTCAACCTCCGGGGGAAGAGGAACTTGTCAAGAGGAGATAAAAATGTTCCTTATTGTCAGGAACAGCAGTTCCCATTGTTCCATGCCCTAGCCAGCATCGTGTTAGAAATTTCCTATTTAATTTATTGTAAAGATTTTTTAATATAATTGATACACTGTGACAGTGAAAAAAGGATTTTCTGTTTAGCCAGCATTGTGAAAACACATTATCCTATTGGTGAACACATACATCTGATTAAAATGTCACCAATGGCTCATGCCTGTAATCCCAGCACTTTGGGAGGCCGACATGGGTGGATCACGAGGTCAGGAGATCGAGACCATCCTGGCCAACACAGTGAAACCCCATCTCTACTAAAAATACAAAAAAAAAAAAAAAAAAAAATTAGCTGGGCATGGTGGCACATGCCTCTAATCCTAGCTACTTGGGAGGGTGAGGCAGGAGAATCAATTGAACCCAGGAGGGTGGAGGTTGCAGTGAGCCAAGATTGCGCCACTGCACTCCAGCCAGGTGACAGAGCAAGACTCCGTCTCAAAAAAAAAAAGACACCCAGAGATAGGTAAACATTACTGCATGGGCAAGGTATATTCCTACCTGAAAGTAATGAGTTATCAAGGGAGTGCTTACAGAATCAAATTTCCCATTTCCATTTTTAATTTTTCAGTAATGTAACTATGTAAGAGAAAATTTAGAAAATACAATGTTTTAATATTTTCTTCAATCTGTGTTGTAGTCCACAAAGTCAGCCAACTTTTTGTTTTTTTCTTTTCTGATTTTTAAAAAAAGAAATATAGAGGCATGCAGAAAAGAAACAGGATAGTTGTACTTATATTTCACCCGCAGTTGTGAATTTTGGTCAATAATAATTGGAAAAGTTATCATTCTTCCTGCTCAGTATTCATTGCAATGGCCTTGTCACACCAGTAGAAGAAAGAAAATCTTAGGTAAAATTGTCCTGTTTTCAAAGTGGACTGTTTGGTGATTTGTTGTAGCCTTCTTCTCTCTGAATGTAATGGTAACAGTTTTAGAGTCTATAGTAATTAGACATCATCATCCTCTTAATCTTAGCAAGAGGAAGTATAGTTAAAACAAGTTTTTTTAAAAAATAAAATAAAATATTTTAGTTTTTATAACATTTTAAACAAAATTAAAATTGTCCTTTTATGTATACCCAGTACCATCCCTTTTTAACCTAGCATAACTTCATGAGCATTTTCTTTTCTTTTTTTTTTTCCAAATTCCCTATTCTGAGAGGCACTCATGAGCATTTTCCCATGTCATTGAGCATTCTTCAAATTGAGTCATTGATAGCTGCATAATATGCCATCATGTGGCCATGCCTGCATTGAGTCAGCCATTCCCCTGTAACCGAGCACTCAGGTTGCTTCCAGGTTTTTCTTTGCTCTAAATAACTCTGTGATAAATGTCAGAGTAAATGATTCTTTACATTTCTACATCCTTTCTTTCTTTCTTTTCTTTTCTTCTTCTTCTTCTTCTTCTTCTTTTTTTTTTTTTTTTTTTTTGAGGTGGAGTTTCGCTCTTGTTGCCCAGGCTGGAGTGCAATGGCACAGTCTCGGCTCACTACAACTTCTGCCTCCCGGGTTCAAGTGATTCTCCTGCCTCAGCCTCCCAAGTAGCTGGGATTACAGGCACAGGCCACCAAGCCCAGCTAATTTTTGTATTTTTGGTAGAGATGGGGTTTCGCCATGTTGGCCAGGCTGGTTTCGAACTCCTGACCTCAGGTGATCCGCCCGCCTCGGCTTCCCAAAGTGCTGGGATTACAGGTGTGAGCCACCGCACCCAGCCCATTTCTACATCCTTTTTTACTGTAAATCGCTCGTGGTGATGTTAGGAGGTTAAAGGAAATGAGTATTTCTCAAGGGTTTTGTTGCTTATTGTCAGCTTCCTAACCTTTAGTATGTTGAACCCTTTTGCTGTAGTGATTCTGACTGTCCCCTCCCAACCCGAGCATCCTGTTTTTCAAAGCTTTGCTGTGATGATTGAAATATCAAAAATTGAAATGAAGGCAAAATTTAACCCTACACTTGCACAATATGATCTCACTCACTCATCTATTTTGTCTTTATTTCACGTTTTGATATTTTGTACCTTGTGAACTATTTTTGCATTAATCAAACAATATGTTGTTTTAAAATGTTATCTTGATTACTGAGTTTTTTGGCACCCCTTTAAATTTGGGGGCTGGGTGAGTGCCTCTTTCGCTTCATCCGTATCCTGGCCATTTTAGAATCCTGGTGAGTTGGAACATTCTGGAATGCCCAGCGACATTCTAATATCTGAGGGGAAAAAAACATCTTAGGACTTAGATTACTAAGCTTATGAAAGATCAAAGACGATCAAGAGCTAGAGGGCCACACGAGACCTGCTGTGGGGTGGTTCACAAATGACTGAAAATGGACAGGCCAAGGAGGGCCCATGCTGGCTGATGGCAGATAATGGAGGTATCAGAACTTGCTTTGAAGCTTTTGCAACAGGACCTTCTATTCTCCTGATGCACATGCTTCACAAAGATTCCCCCTGAAACTGCCATTCCCCTCTCATTTGTTAAAAATATCGTTTACTGGAGCTGTGCACCCTATTACTTTTGGCTTTGATCTTTTTGAGTCTAATCACAGACTAAGAGTGTCCATGCTGTTTGGGCTGATTTAACACCAAAGCAAAGGAGGATTATCTCCTGTATTCATAATGATACTTCTCCATCCCCTAAGGTGGAGGAGACAAAGGCTAATGGTTCGCAGAAGGATGGTAACCAGGCATAATGTACAGTTATCTGTGTTTAGAAATCAAGTTCTCATTTTAATTCTAGAAGTATTTCTCGTGTAAACATATACACGGTTGTCAATAGTAAAGGTTATATAAAAATAGCTCTTTAAAATTACCAAGGTAGTTTGCATAATGCTAAATATTAACTCATTGACTCATTCATTTATTTACTGAGCATTTATTATGTGACAGGTATGGTGGGTAGCCTCTGAGTAGACAGAGTGAAAAAAAAACAGCCAGTAGTCTCTACTCTCATAGAGTTCACAGTCGGGTAGGAGAGATAGATAATAAAATAATTACTTTGTAATTACAAACAGTAATGAGTATAAGAAAAGAGCAAAGTGCCCTGAATGTCTTCTTAATGTCCTGCACTTTGCCAAGTTGAGCTTTCATTGTCTTTTCATCCTGAGAATAATGCTGCAACATGGATATAATTTCCTGCATTTAACTGATGGTAAAATAAAGGGTAGTCTCAGCCGGCAACATGCTGAGGGTCTCCTAGAGATAGGTGGAAGTAGAGGTGGGTTTATAACTTGAGGGGTTGAGTCATGGCCTATGGTCTTACCTCTCCATGAGCTGCTTCTTCAATCATTTGCTCACCAGACTCCACTCTCATGCCCCACAACCCCCTTGAGATTCTAAGAGGTTCATAGACATTCCTGCGTTCTTACTTTAAGGTAGGAACCATGATGAGGATTGAACATAGGAGCCTCGCAGGACATCACAGTGTTTGTTTTGGTGAACATGTTGCTATGCAACTGAATGTTCGTACATTCTCTCTGCTTCCCTATGCTCCCACCACTACCCCACTCTAGAACTTGGGGCAGGTCAAACAAAGGAAAATTAGAATCTCGGCTGCTGTGCCAAGTAGCCATGGTTACCCAGATCCCTACTTCGTGCTGATCCATCACAGCAAAGGAAAAAAAAGAGAACCTGTCAGGAATACCTCAAGATTTTTCTATTAGTACATCAGCTCCATTCCATTGAGAAACCAGAACCAGAAACCACACTGATGTCGCCCACAAGTTAGGTGACTTACCCGCTACTCCTCAGTGTGGCATGGGACGTACTGGCCCAAGAGGCCTGGAGGTCCCTCCATGTGGAAATATAAGAACCAGGGGAGGTGTGTTTTCTAGCATACCCCATCTCCATTTCAGTAAGTAAAGTAAAACCCTATGCCTTCTGGGCAGTTGTAACCTTGGAAAAATCTGCCTGTCCTTCACAAATAATTTTTCAATTTATGTGCATTTTCTTTTATAGAGATAAGGATTATAATATTAATAAATTAAGGCATAAAAATCAGTTTAAATAATTAAGTGAGTACTGTAGATAACTGTAGTGCAAATGTGACCCTAATAAATTTACTACTAACAATTTATTATCTACAGACCTGGACCCAACTTCCAATTTTGTAGACAGGCGACTATCAGATAACCGTTCATGTATTTATAACTGGTAATTGTAATTGTTTGTATAGCAGTTCAATACTGGTTATTAATATGCACCTGGCTATATATACCCATGCAAAGGTAGCCTACATCACTGTGTCCCCAGTGATGACAATCTGGACATCAGCATACAGCCAGGCCTCTTATTGGTACCCACTGAGAGTTGCCCTTCCAGATGAGCTGCTACTGTTTGTGGGGCCTGGAATTGTGAATGACTGATCCTTAGGTTTTATGTCTCCCTCTGATGTGGCTTCATCCTGTCCCTGCCCAGATTCATTCCTTCAGCAGGCATTCACATGCCTGTTTGGGGCCAGCGGTGGTGCTGGTTTCTATAGCATGACGAGAGAGGAAGACACTTGATATGATTTGGTTGTGTCCCACCCAAATCTCATCTTGAATTGTACTCCTATAATCCCCACGTATCATGGGAGGGACACGTGGGAGGTAATTGAATCATAGGGGTGGGTTTTTCCCGTGCTGTTCTTGTGATGGTGAATAAGTCTCATGAGATCTGATGGTTTTATAAAGGCCAGTTCCCCTGCACATGCTCTCTTGCCTGCCTCCATGTAAGATGTGCCTTTGCTCCTCCTTCGCCTTCCACCATGATTGTGAGGCCTCCCCAGCCATGTGGAACTGTGAGTCCATTAGACCACTTTTTCTTTATAAATTACCCAGTCTCAGGTATGTCTTCATTAGCAGTGTGAGAATGGACTAGTACAACACTTATATAGTCATCCTGCCGTTGGATGCCCGCTACAGTGGAGGTGAAGCAAATTGTGGACAGTGGGGTCTAAACCTTCTCCCTAATCAATATATTAATTAGACATGCATATGGGCAGGCAAGTTCTCAAACTTTTTGGTTAGAACTAACCCCATTGCACTCTTAAAAATTACTAAGGACCACTAAGAGTCTTGGTCTATGTGGGTTAAATCTATCAATATTTACCAAAGGGCAATTAAAACTGAAGCATTTTTGAAATGTTTATTTATTTTAAAACAATAATAATAAACCCATTGTATGTTAACATAAATAGCATACTTATAAAAATTATTATATCATACTAAACAAAATATTGAGAAGAATATCATTATGTTGTATTTCTGCAAATTTCTTTAATGTGAGGCTTCATAGGAGACAGGTAGAATCTTAAATCTGCTCCTACAATTAATCTGTGGCAGTATCACACTGTTCATATGTCATGTAGCCTCTGGAAAACTCCACTGTACATTCATTGGAGAATAAGAGCAAAAAGACAAATAATCTCTTAGAATTACAGATTATTATAATAATTATAAAAATAGTCTTTATCGCCTAGGTGGAAGATTTGGGAGACACACAGGAGTTCCCGTGTAACACTTTGAGAACCCCTGTTTTATGGTGTTCTGTTCTAAGTGTGCACTCACTGAAGGCACTCATACACCCAAATTGCAGAGAAGTCTTTGGATTTGAATCACAGTGTTCAACTATTTGTCTGCAATTCAAACCTATCTTTATTTATTTTTTATTATTATTTTGAGATGTAGTCTTGCTCTGTCGCCCAGGCTGTAGTGCAGTGGTGCCATCTCGGCTCACTGCAAGTTCCACCTCCTGGGTTCACGCCATTCTCCTGCTTCAGCCTCCTGAGTAGCTGGGACTAAAGGTGTCCACCACCATGCCTGGCTAATTTTGTTTCTCTATTTTTAGTAGAGACGGGGTTTCACCATGTTAGCCAGGATGCTCTCGATCTCCTGACCTCGTGATCCACCCGCCTCGGCCTCCCAAAGTCCTGGGATTACAGGCGTGAGCCACTGCGCCCAGCCTATCTTTTTTTAATTTGTAATTTTTATTTCAAGAATAGGGAAGATAAGACTGGGAAATACATTGATGGCAGAGAACTAGGGTTGGTGATCCTCAGGAGATGTCTTGTATGGACTTGAGAGAGCTGATTATTGAATGTTCCAGGATTTGGCCAACTGTTAAACTATTAATAGCTTAAAATTGGCCATGATGGGAGTATTTACACCATGGAAATAAGCAAATGCTTCAAATCAGGGCTTCTCCCTCACCAAATTTTCCAAATTTATCTGCTTACTGCTTGTTACAGTTCTTAACCCCAAGCTTTTTTTTTCCCTTGGTTTTGTTTTGGTTTTATTGTTTTAAACTGAGTGCATTTACATAAGCAGGCAAGCTCCTTGGTGCCATAGCCCCTTCACCCAGTTAATTTTGTCCTTACCCCCAGCCTGGTTCCCACATGTATACAGACACCTCTGCCACAAGCCCAGCCCTCTTAGGAATTTGTGTTTATCTCTGTGGTTCTGGTTTTCTCTTGTGTGTGAGGGCTGGAACACCTCTTATGAATGGTCCATGACTTTCACTCCTTCCATTGATAAGGTTTGCTGTGAATGTTTTGGTGAAATCTTTCAAGAACCATGGCCATCCCCCTTCTTTTAAAGCCAAAGCAGCACCAGTGCCTGGCATGGGTTATGCAGATGGTTGGCATCATCCCCTGCTAGGATTTACTATTATTTGGAAATTAATGATGGCATCATCTTTTCAGGAGTGGGGAGGGGAGCTGTGATTGACGAACCTCTCTTTGACCATCTGTTCCTTTGCTTCAAGGCGCTGCTTTTCATAGCCTTAGAATTTGAGAGAAATGATGTTAAGTGATCACAAATGTTCTTTAAAGTTTTACTTTAAAGGAAAACAAAAGAAAGCTTTTCAACAAGACGACTAGCTTTTTTTCTGGGGGTCAGTTTACTACAGATTATAAGCCAGAAAATAAAAAAGGTAAAATGAGATTTTTGGTTGGATTTGTTTTTAATTAAGACCTAAATCATGATTCTCTTAGAATGGAATAGAAAGTGAGAGTAGCTCTGAGACCTACTTGATCAATTTTGCAGTATCCCAGCTGCCAGCAGGGAAATGAGAGGAGGTAGGTGTAGCCAGAAGAATTCCTTTATATCCAGTTGACAATCACCAGCACCAGTGCAAGTCAGGACATCTTACTATTTCTAACCTCCCACCTCCAGAAACAAAGCTGATTATATTTGTCTGTTCCTTCCAGTAGGAAATTTTATGAATTTTGTCCTCAAAAGCTTTCTGAAAATCCACCTCTCCTCCTAACCAATTCGAAGGCCTAAATGCCTTGAATTTGAGCAATGCAAATACATGAAAATACAGTTTTATCCATGAAGTTAAAGAGGATACCAGTGATTCACTTTACACTAGGATTCTTACAGGATTTCTTTAAGTAATAAATCCCTATAATGAATTCAAAATGACATCTGTTGTTCAGGAATTAAATGTACACTCCACTTTTCAGGAACATGTTTATTTTACCAAACAGGATACATACCTGTATTTAGCATCCTCTACTTGGGAAGATTTTCTTATGTGTAAATTTTCTGTATTTATTTAAAGGCTATTTTAGCAGATTATTTCTTAAGTAGATATGGAAAATCATTTATGTTTTTCAGCACTTGTATCCTTTCTCTTTTGAGAACATCAGGTACGTGGAGTTGATTTCATCAAGTCCCTTGGTTGCTGGCTCACTGTTCTCACTGGGCCATGCAGGCTCCCTCTCTCGTGCTACTAAGACCCCCTCCTCCTCCCATCCCCTCCTGCCTCAATAGGAAACTAGAACCAAGAAATATGATGGGGCATGCCATGGGGTTAAGAATTGCAGTTTTACATAGGACGGCCTACTTCCAACACAGGCCTGAAGGAGATGAAGTAGGGATTCATGGAGATGTATAAGATGTATGGGGGAGGAGTATCCAAGACAGAGGAGAGCAAGTGCAAAGGTCTTAAGGCTAGAATGCACCTGCCACACTTGCAGAGTGGCACAGAGGCCAGTGTGGTTGAAACAGAGCCAGTGAGGGAGAGAAGTAGAGGTGAGTTGGTTAGAAAGGTCAGAAAGGTCACTTATAGGCTCTGATAAGGACTTTGGCTTTTACTCTCAAGAAACCAATAGAGGGTTTGAAGCCAAAGAATTACATGATTTGACTTACTTTTAAAAGGAACATTCTGACTCTGTTGTGGGGACACTAGTGTATGTGAGAACAAGGAAGATTAGAAGCAGGGGGTCTAGTGACAAGGCTACCTGTGGTGGCCCAGAGGACAGCTGGTGGTGGCTCAGATTAGCACAGTAGCAGTAGAAGCGTCAGGAGCCTGGGCATATTTTTAAGAACCAACAGGATTTACTGATGCATCATATGTGGGACACAAAAGTGTGAAGAGCAAATGGGACGATGGAGGTGGCCACTTACTGAGAGTGAAGACGGTGGTCTGACCAGATTTGGCGTGGGCTTAAGGAATTGGGATTTAGAAATGCCAAGTTTGAGATGCCTATTAGACATGCAAGAAGAGACATTGGAATAGGAAAATGGATATGCAAGTCTGGATTTCAATTTGGGGAATCATCTATATATAATTGATTTTTAAAATCATGAGATTGGATGAGATCATCAAAGATGTGAATATAAGTAGAAGAAGAAATGATCCAAGGACCTGGTCTTACCTCACCTCACTCTGGCCTTCTTTATATGGAGTATATATCATTATCTGACATGATCACATACATGAATTTGCTTATCAGTTTGATGTCTTTCTTTCCAAACTCAAGGCAAGATCATGCCAGTGGGGGCTGTGTTTGTTTTATACACTGCTTTACCCAGCACCACAACTATTTCTGAAATATGGTGTAGTCAATAAATATTTTTTTAATTAATGAATTTAAAAATCTTGAGATAACCCTCAAACTCAGCTTAATTGACAATCTCAACCTTCTTACTCCACAGCTTCCAATAAATGCTTATGGGACTTGAAAAATAAGTAGCAAAATATATGATTTTTAATTTACTTTCCTAATCATTTCCCAGAAGGACATGAAAATAGTAGAATTATCTAAACACAATAAAAAGGGAGAAAGCGGAAGAGGTGCTAAAGACATATTTTCAAGAACCAACAAGATTTACTGATGGATTGTATATGAGATATAAATGAGCATGAAAAACAAAGAATAGAGGTGGCCATTTATCAACAGAATGAAGACTGTGGTACAAGATGATTTGGATCGTGGAGCTGGGGAGTTGACTTAATTTAGTCTATGAGCACAATTGCAAGTACATTGTGCCCAAGGCCGTGTGCTGAGCATAAGGAATGGAGAGTAGAAGAAGACATAGCCCCTATCCTCAAGAACTTATGATTGGGAAGGAATGATAGAAAACACAGGTAAGGTGATAAATTGTGCTGAATTTGGAAAAGCTCAGTAAATCAAATGAAAATTTAAAAATAGCTTTAGGCTAGGCAACATTTAGGTGTGCAGAAAGATGTGCCTGCATTTCTTTCATAAAGCTTTTTGGCAATCTCATGTTTCTAACTTAAGTGTTCTTGGAGTAATGTGTACATTAAGCATTTATCAAAAAAGTCATTTCTCATGTGGGGAGCTATGAAATTGACAAAGTTTGGATTTGAAGTGACAAAGCCCTTCAGGAAATTATTCTAATAATTTTCTGTGTTTGACACCAATTCATTAGATAAGTGTGATGTAGAAGGAATGAGAGCTGTGTGATTGTCATTGCAGGTTATTCATTTTTTAGGCTGTGTCAGGAGAGTCCCCAGAGTATAGTTTATAGGATTTATTTAACCAAAATGATTATATCATTGATCACCAAATTCCTTCCTGATGAACAGACTTAGAAGGAATGTGGGAAGGGCCTTCTCCTCTAGGCCTTAGTCCTACCAGTGCTTACATATTCCCATTTATCCTAACAACTGGGTATCCTAATGTCTACTGATATTCTGAGGCCACAGCTTGGTAGTATTAGAGGGAATTTTGATATTTCATGTAAGTTGCAGTTGAATAGCCTTAACTTTCTGCACTAGGATTGGTTCTTTTTGGTGAAAGTTTACTTCTTGAAATGAAGAAAACTGCTATAGGTGTGGCTCTTTGGCTCTCTAAAGGTACTGTTGTCTTCGTTTTTCAGCAGAAGAAACTGAAGCCTACAGAAAAGCTTATTGAAGGCCATGCAAATAATAATTGGTGAGGATGGATTTGAACCCAGATCTGATAGGCTCTAATCTGTGTATACCACATTGTTCTGGCTCTTTCAAGGCTTGTGCTATAGAATCCCAGAACTAGAGATGAACTGAGAGGTCAGGCAGGCTAAGCTTCTCATTAAAGAAATGTTCATCCAACTTCTACAGGAATAATGTCTTTAATTATGTTTCTTTTTTCCCAACTAAAACATACTATATTTCAATTTTTGTTACTATATCAATAACATACAAAAATATAAATATCTTGGAATATTGTGGCAGTGGCAGGAGAACTTTTAAATATCCTCAGTTTTTAAAAAAAATAGAGCAAAGAGATAGCAAAACCAAAACACATGAATGTCATTAACAAATTAAATTGACAAAAATATGATTTTTGGGAGACAAACCATTAATAGCAACAAGGGCCCACATGATATCAGCCATAATTTAGCAGGAGGAAGCTAAGGGGAGAAACAAAGCAGTTGACATGCCTGAGGATCACAAAATGTCCAACATGTACTCTATGGAAAGTAGCCGAAACTGGGAGGGGCTTTGTGTACTCCACTAGTAGGTGAATCAAAAGAGTTAACAGTAAGATCTAAAGGAGTGGAATGGTCTGGGTTTCTTAAACACTTGAAACTTCCTTCCAGGGTAGTCACTCACTGAGATCAAACTGTTGAGAGCAGGACCCAAACTGAGCAGTATAAAGACAAGGGAAAGAGAAGGTAAAGATAAAAGTGGAAGAAGTGCCTAGAGGTAAGAGACCCCAGAGAACAAGCTGCTGTATGTTTTGAAAACTACATGAAAACAAAAGGAGAAGGTGCTCTAAAGCCTGAAGTTAGAAAAGTTAGTAAAACTATACTGAACTATATCCCAATTAAAAGTTTAAAAGAGGCTGGGCGTGTTGGCTCAAGCCTGTAATCCCAGCGCTTTTGAGGGGCTTAGGTGGCTGGATCACCTGTCAGGTTCGAGAACAGCCTGGCCAACATGGCAAAACCCCATCTCTACTAAAAATACAAAAAGTTAGCTGGGAGTGGTGGTGGGAGCCTGTAATCCCAGCTACTCAGGAGGCTGAGGCTGGAGAATTCCTTGAACCCAGGAGGCAGAGGCTTCAGTGAGCTGAGATCGCACCATTGCACTACAGCCTAGGTGACAAGAGTGGAACTCTGTCTCAAAACATAAAAAAAGTTTAAAAGAGCGAATTTTACATAGAAATGAGCAACAGGAAAAGATCACAGTTGATACGGTTTGAGTATTTGTCACTTCCAAAACTTGTGTTGAAACTTAATTTCCATTATGACAGTATTAAGTAATAGGAACTTTAAGAAATGATTTGATTTAATGGGGACTATGCTGTTATAAAAAGGAAAGTTCAGCCTCCTTTCCCTCTCTGTTTGCTCTTCTGCCATGTCAAGATGCAGCAAGAAGGCTCTTGCTAGATGCTGACACCTTGATATTGGACTTCCCAGCCTTCAGAACTGTGAGCCAATAAATTTTTCTTCATTATAAATTATCCAGTCTGTGGTATTCTGTAACAGCAACACAAAATTTACTAAGACATAGGTATAAACTTATTATTTTAAAAAGAATAAAGAGTAATATGGCTTCACAAAAAATTTGAAAATGCTACTAATACAGGCCCATCCTCCTTCAAATAAAAACTACAACCCACTATCTCTAACAAGCTTAAAAAAAAAAAAAAAAAAAACCTAAGAAAATGTCACATGGGCCAGGCACGGTGACTCACGCCTGTAATCCCAGCACTTTGGGAGGCCAAGACGGGTGGATCACGAGGTCAGGAGATCGAGACCATCCTGGCTAACACGGTGAAACCCTGTCTCTACTAAAATACAAAAAAAATTAGCCGGGTGTGGTGGTGGGTGCCTGTAGTCCCAGCTACTCAGGAGGCTGAGGCAGGAGAATGGTGTGAACCTGGGAGGCGGAGCTTGCAGTGAGCTGAGATCACGCCACTGTACTCCAGCCTGGGTGACAGAGTGAGACTCCATCTCAAAAAAAATAAAAAATAAAAAATAGAAAATGTCACATGATGTGAAAAAATACATTAAGTCCAAATTAGGAAGATTTATAAATGAAGTTATATCACTCAGAAAGGATAAAAATGGAAATTTTTTTAAGGATTTGAGAGAAAATGACAAAAGAAGAGCCAACATACATATAATAAGGGCTCCAAAGAAACTCAAAATGAGGGAACAAAAAAATACCCAAAACTATAATTTCAAGTGTTTTCCAAAACAATTTTTTAAATTACATATTGAAAGTGCATACCACATAACTAAGGAAACTGACCCAAAATAACCAACACTGAGAGAAAGTTAATAAAACTATTAGACTTTGAAGACAAACAAAAATTTAGGCATCCAGACAAAAAGATCAAATCACTTATAATAGACAATATCAGACTTTCAGTAGACTTTCCTACAACATTGCTTTATCCTGTAAGGAAATGGAATAATATGTTTAAGATAATTAAGGAAAGATGTGTGAGCTAAAAATTTTATAACCAACTAAATTGACATTCACATGAAAGGCTCAGGCAAACTCAGTGACTTGGAGAATATTTTTCCCATGAGCTTTTTCTGAGGAATTTACTGAGAGTAAATTCTGATAAGCCAAAATAACTAGAGAGTTATTAACATAGAGCCTGATACTAAGTGCTATATATATATTTACAGTAGAAGAATAGCTAATGCTAACTGAGTCTGTTTCATATATAATGAAATAAATCACATGGGCAATTATGTGATTTTCTAATTCTTGAATCCCCTGTGTTCTCTAGAATCAATATTCTGGCATGGAAGAAAGTAAATATATATGCCAGGTAGAAAAGGTTAAGTAAAAATCCTGTGGTACTGAATTTAAATTGGAAGTATCGCATACATTGTGAGTTCATACTCATGTGTACTGAAAAGGCTTAGAAAGAGAATGCAACCCAATAGCAATGACATCTCTAGGACCCAGATTATGATCTTGAAATACTATTTCCCACTAAAAGAAAACAGCTATTCTTGGGAATTTAGAGGGTTCTAGGTCTGGGCAGAATTTGTATAAAATGAGCCTAGGAGATTGAGTCATACACATACGTTATTAGCAAGGAAGCTAGAAAAGTATTAGGATTATGTCAAAAGGACAAAAGAACTAATGATGTTCCCACTGGACAGAGATCAGACAGTTTATGTTCAGTAAAGATAATATTTTTGGTGAACTGAAGCTCAATAAGTATGTTTAAATTTATGTATAAGGATAGAAAATAATTTGTCATTTTTGAAAATAATAAAGAACCACTTGTTTTTAAAACTGGTAAATAATGAGGGCAAAAAATCATCTATTATGTCTTTTCTATATGAGTTTCATCCCTGATAACCAAGTCGTAGATGAGTAAATTTTCTCTTTATAGAAATATTTCAACTAATAACTAAAAGAAAAATGATTAAATTAGAATATTACTATTTTGCAACTCAGATAAATTAATAGATCTAGGCAGTGTACATCATTTGCTGCTATCATAAGTAAAGACACAACCGTACATCACATGGCTGTGATAGAAGAATACAGTACTATTAATATCTCTATAGTTGTCTTGCCAAAAATGAAACCCCATGATCAATCCAGTAGATCCACAGAGATGCAATCAGCAAAATCCAGATAGTAAGAAACTCTATAGGACAAACTTGTTTTCTTCAACAAATAAATTACATGAAAAACACATGTGGAGAGACAGAAGGGGAACCTGGAAACTAATAGAGACATATAAAAGTAACAGGGAAAATGAAATATAGGGATGTATAATCAGGTGATAAAGCTGTAAAGGAAAGCTCAGAAGCAATTACCATAAAAGTGAGGACAGAGATTACTTTTGAGGGTGTAGGGAAGAGAATTGTGGTTAGAATGATTGTGTAGAGGGCTTATGAGGTATCTGGCAGATTTCTTTGTCTTGATTTGGATCATGGTTACAAAGTGTTGACCTTATAATAGTTTATTAAACTAAGCATTTATTTAATGCAGTTTTCTGTATCTGTAATATTTTACAACTAATAAGCTTTTTAAAAATATATATAATGGGCCTTTTTATTCATTTCTCCAGTAGGTTTCATACAATATAAGAGCCACACCACATTGGACAGGCAGACCTGTAAACAAGTAGGTCTTCGTTCATTCATTCTACAAATATTTCATGAACAACCAACTCTTTTGGGTAGGCATTGGAGAAGTGCTGCACCTAAAATAAGGCAATTATAGTATGAAGCAAAATATGATAGGTGCTATATGGACAAAGTATTATGATAGTATAGAGAAATGGAAATTTATTTCTGATTGGGAGATTAGCAAAAACTTACCAGGGCAATAACATTTCAGTTGAATCTTCTAAGATGTGTAATATGTGCTCTTACTTTAAAAACCATCAATTCACATTAAAGGAATATTTAGAACCCTCTGCCTCAATAACTACTCACTCTTAATCCATATGTTCTAGTTTGCATCACCCAACACGACTGAAACCCACTGTCTGAAGGCCATTGATCATCTCTTAGTGACATTTCTTCAGTCCTCTTCCCCATAAACTCTGCCCAAGTCATCATTGTTGAGTATTGCCTTCTAGAAATTATTTTCTTCCTTTTCTTCTGAACCACCAGGGTGTCCTGACCTCTCTCCTGCCTTCCAACTGTCCCTTTGGTGTCTTTTGGCTGCTTTGATCACCTCTTTGGCCATGCCTTCTGTGCTCTCTCTCTATGTTCTCCTGTCTTGGCATTACCTGAAGTCATATGCAATTAACATGGAAATATCTATGACACTCTTGCCCGGTAGGAGCTCCAGACATGTATTTCTGACTCTCTGCTCATCATTTCTTTCTGTATGTCCATCTGTCACCACAAAATTGATATGCCCAAAATTGGACCCATTTTCTTCTTCCAACCAAATCCTTCTGGTGACTTTGCCAACCCAATTAATAGCTTCTCTGCTTCCTGGTCCTGACTTAGAATCTTTGAGTCATCCCCAACTACCCTGTGGATATGTTTGTTGTCTTAAACTAGGACAACTTCTATTTCTCTGTGTCAAGAGGACTTACATGCTCTTTGGAACTTTTCCTGTGTGCAAGGCTTTGAATGGACTTCATCCAAACCCAGTGATAAGGTTCCCTGTGGTAG